TATATATATATTTTTAATTTTTTTTTATTTATTTTTTTTATTTTTTCATAAGTAATAGTCCTGCATTCAACCATTTTGCAAACTGAATATACAGAAGAATTAATGGATATATGTACCAAACCTATTGAAAACAAATGTACTCATTATGTAAACTTGCTCCTTTTCAGAGTGTTAAACTTTAGTATCAGTCTACAGACTATTACAAAACAGCATTGTGGCTGACAAGGTCTTGGTTGGTTGGGGTCTTTTCTACATCTAACCCATTTTAACCTTTTTCTTTCTCTGATCCCTGTCCTCAGATTGATACCTTGGCAGCCGAGTATCCATCCATGACCAACTACCTGTATTGTACCTATCATGGTCAGGTATGGACTCTGCCAACAGAGAGAATACATATTAAAGTACCATTAGGATGTACATTATTTAGCCAGTCCAAATGTGTCTGATTGAAAATACATTTAAATTTAAATTTGTTATGAAAATGACGAGTAATATTAATTGTAAGATGGCTGTTTTTGCTGTGCTATAGAATTATTGATGTCCACAAGAGTGCATTGTCAACAATGTTTTTATCAATTTTTCCAATCCTACAGGAGAATGACCTGGACTTTAAAGACCAGGGCATTATGGTTCTTGGTTGTGGGCCCTATCACATTGGTGAGCTCAACAACAAGCTTTCATACCGTTTTCATTTTCAAGCTTTGCTAATTATATTAATATGCAGTTTAATATTTGTTATGCTGACTTTGTGAACTGCTGTTTATGGCTAACGGTCTCAAATTTGTCAACCGTTTGATCCACCAGGGAGCAGCGTTGAGTTCGACTGGTGTGCGGTGTCGAGCATCAGAGCTTTGAGACAGATGGGTAAGAAGACGGTGGTGGTAAACCACAACCCCGAGACGGTCAGCACCGACTTCGACGAATGTGACCGCCTTTACTTCGAGGAGTTAACCCTGGAACGCATCCTTGACATCTCCCAACAGGAGGTTCGGACACGCATGCAAACACGCCATTTTGAACTTGACAAAATTCAATCAAAATATACAAATGACCTATATGCCTCTTCATTTTTTTTATCATGGAATATAAAGTTGTATTGGTAGGTGATGGAATTCTTCAACTCTCCACTGAAAACTCTACAAACACTACAACTACCATTGATGTACCACTGATATATTATCAATGTTCAATGATCTACACCCACTTAGGTTATCCTGTTCTGGGTTGCTGGGCCTATCCCAGCATGCATTAGGAGAGACGCAGGGCACCCTGGACAGGTCTCCAATCTATCAAAAGGTTATATCAGTGCTAATAACTACTTATATATTCATGTGTATTGAGTGGAATCTGGTTGAAATATTGCATTGCAATCAATGTAAGACCTCCCCTAGGCAGAGTAGTAATGATCAATTACAGAATACATATATAATAAACGAAATCAATCATGTCAACGTATTTAGGAACACTAGTCGAATTTAAATAAAAAAAGTGATATTTACCAAATATCTCCGTTGAGTAAATGTATGGGTCCAAGACTCGCAGCATGCATGCACATTGACTTGTTTTCAAGTGACTGTACTGCTCAAGAGTAATTATTTCTTATAAAAAGTAGAAATAAAACATTAACAGCGTGACTGATATGGAGTTTCCCCCAGAGCAAACGAGCAAATTAAAAAATCTTTATGTTGATTCATATTTATATATAAACGTGTTAAGCATGCAGCTTTTCCCGCCTTCTCCTCCAGGATGTTCTTGGCCATTTAAAGGCGCCAAAACGAAACCCCTCTCACTCTCTGTCAAACAGAAACTGGGAAATTAGTCCTAATTGGGACACTTATTATGCAGCTCTATCTGCTCACCTAAGGTGAGCTGGTGTTTCACGGGTTTTTGAGGTTTGCTGACCTCTCTGTGTGACTCTCGGTACACATGGTTGTGCTTTCTGAAAGGTTTTATGGATAACTCTATTCTTAGGTGGTGATTTCAAATCACTGAGAGGCTTTTGGGTTGTTTTATGAGGTTGATTTGAACAAAAACTGTGCAAAAGCCTCCTGCATACTTAATTACGACTAACTTACCGTCAAAGATGTGTTTCAATATAGTAATAGATTTCTAGCCTCCCAAGATGTATATCGAAAATAATTTTAATTAAGTGGTGATTTGACATATATGGCCATGCTTGACACATTAGCATGTTCAAAATGATATGTAATTCCCATCTTATTGCCCAAAGCTACTGTTTAGTATGCATGGACCAAAGTCGCTCAAGGGCATGAATAGCTGCTATTTCCCCTGATATTTTCTATGTATATATGTTTATTAATATCTGTGTGTTTGTGTTGTGTGTTTGCGTACTTATATCCACTGACTTTCCTTTGCAGAGGCATTGTAATCCACTTAAAGTCACGACGGGGTCAGAGTGTGATTAAGTGTTTGTTTGTTCAGGGCGATAGCATTAACGTCAATCCATCTCTCGCTGCTACGGTCCCCTCTTGGTGTGTGTGTGTGTGTGTGTGTGTGTGTGTGTGTGTGTGATAAATACGGCATTAGAGCGTGGCGATAAACCCTGGACGGGAGAGCAGGCCCATGAATAATGAAGAGATACAACCTGGCATTGCCATGGAAACAGCATCTCCCCCTGGATCAGCTAGACAGGAAAAGGGGCTGCGTGCTGTTATTAAAGGAGCACACATGCGTCTTCACACACACACACACTGTCCCTAGTGATAACTAAACCCATGGAACGACCAAGATCAACAGTTCTTGTTTGTCTCATATTTTCTCTATGTGATCAGTGGCCAGAATAATTGGAAGCGGCCGCAGGTTTCAGACAGTTAATCTTGGCTGATAGGCCTGTGGAGGTCCCAGACTTGACGGAGTATCTTCGCTGCTCCTGTCCTTTTCTTCCCCCCTCCACTTCCTATTCTTTTATTCTACCTGCTGTTTTTATCCTGTTTTCTATCTCACACATTCTTCTCTTTCCATCCCCTCCTCTCCAGGGTTGCTCTGGCAGCATTGTGTCAGTCGGAGGCCAGATCCCCAACAACCTCGCCGTCCCGTTGCATCTCAATGTGGTGAAGATTCTGGGGACGAGCCCCCTGCAGATCGACCGGGCTGAGGAACGCTCCGTCTTCTCAAGTATACTAGATGACCTCGGGGTGGCCCAAGCCCCATGGAGGGCCGTCAGCTCCCTGGTGAGAAATAAATAAATAATGGATGTATTATAGAATGCTATTTTGGGATATGCGTTGTGACCATATGCTGAGAAAGAAGAAAGGGGCGTGAGTATTGTGGAATGGGACCTGAGCATACAGGAGCCTCTAAGTGTCACAGTATTACTCTTGCTCTAAGATAACACTCCAGTAAGCTCTCTATGGGGGTGGAAAAGTTGTGTTTTTCTGGTTTATTATAATATTTTGAATCATGTATTTGACCACTCCACATCCACGCCAAACACGCATAATATTATCTTTAGTTACAGCCCTACAGCATCACACCTTTCCCTACAGAGAAACTGGTTGAACTTTCTTCCTCTTAAGGGCATTGTGCCCCCAACTTACTGTCTTGTTGAGCACTTTTCTTGTGTTTGGCCCTCTCAAACCAGCTGTCGGCTACATCAGAGCGAAGCACTGGCAGGCCCCTCTGTGGAACACGTGGAGCACTGGATTGTGTCAGCCGTCAGAGCTGAAATATGTCTCTTCCATTACCGTTGTATTCAGTTACCACTGAGGAGCGATTATCCGTTACAAACAGATAAAGTTCTGTGTCTCTCCAGAGTCTACCTACGTATTCTATTTCCCTGCCGAGCTCGAAGAAACAGTTTGTTTTTATTGGGCTGAAATAACTCCAGTAGAGCCGTGGGGGGTGGTTCTCTGGGAGGCTATTTTGTGTTTGTTAATGGTATCCCACCTGGCGAGTGAACAGTGGATAATGATAGCGAGACAGAGGCTAGACCTGCGAGATGGATAAGAGAGAGCGATGATGATAATGGGGATGCTGAGGAGGACAGGGGGTCTTTGACTGCGAGACTCCTTCCATGACTCGTACTCTTTCTTCTCTCATTCGTTATGTGTACTGAAAGGAAGAAAAGAAAATCTAAAGGGAGTTGACTTGAAGCCCCACGCTCTGGCTGTTATTTGAGCACTTATACGCTCTCTGTTCTTGGCTGACATGGGAGTACACCTTTCCTTCCAGAAGCCTAAAAAAATGTGTGTAGTTGAATTTAAATTGGACTTTCTGTACGAGAGGGTTTGTTACAAGGACGAGCGCAAACACACACACCCTTGATTTGATATTGATTCTTTGTTTTGTCTCAAGTGACTTTAATCATGCAATGTTCTAACATTACATGAATTCATTGATGATGAATACACAGAGTTGCATAAAGATTGAAAAACTAAACAAAGCTCAGGTTAAAGACTGGTGATGGAGCTTTCCGGGCCATAGATCATTTTTTAGAATGTTATTTCTTCTTTTATTTGCCTAAAAAAATGATTTGTACGTTAGTGACTAAGTCTTGGAGCAATCAAATGTGTTTACTTTTCCCCCATTTCTTTCAACAGTTAGAACTTCTTTCTTTGTCCCGTGTTTCCTTGTATATTTTAAGTGATAACTGCAAAATCTTTGTTTAAAACTTAACCTTAAACGTGTTAAGTTGCTCCAAATTGTGGCAGACCATTCTGGAGGAATCGCTATCGTGACAAATAAAGCTTCCAACATCTGCTGTGCTTTTCTCTCCCTTCACAGGAAGATGCCATCAACTTCGCCAACCACGTGGGCTATCCCTGTCTGCTGCGGCCCTCCTATGTTCTCAGGTACATTTTAAAGACACGTCAGCCAACATACTTTGAATTTGCTGTGGATTTGATAATCATACATGTTTCAGTAAACTCCTAATCAGGACTGCACTGGCCGACTCACACCTTAATCAATAACAAGCACATTTTAGCTTTTGAATAACATTTAGTATGAAATGCATACTTGTCTTGTCTTCAATTGCTAGCCAATACAGTGTATTAAGAAATACAGGGAAGAAGACAGTGTTTGCCTGGTTGGCTGAGTTATGTAAGAAAAAAACCCACATTACTCTCCTAATAGCTAATTCACAGACTTATTGCTAACTAAGTGAAATACAATTTTAGTTATGATGATTAATGAACTTTACTACAATTACAGCCCGTTCAATCTTGTAGTGACACTTTTGTCCAGCAGATGTCGTGATGAGACCCTGTATTCAGAAGGGCTTTGGCTCTGAGCAGAAACTTGTTTAATTAAGAGAGTTTTGGACTTTATATTGTTTTACATGCGAGCCGTAATGTTGGTTTTGAAAGTGATTCTGTCTGTGCTTGATTAGCACTGAGTGTCATGCACTAGGTCACATTAAACCAAATTTTAAAGTCATTTAATTCAGCAAAATGATAGCCACCAGTATTTAATGTTCCCACTTGACCTCAATGTAGCAATAATAATACCATTTATAATATAGAGTTTATTAATAACACATATTTGTTAACATTTGCAATTTAAATTTCTTCCACCTACTATATGTTGACCTCTGTCGGATACTGTTAATTAGAAAGATGAGCCTCTCCTTTCCTTTCCTCTCCTTTCCTCCTCTCTCCCTCCTCTCTCTTCTCTTCTCTTCTCCTCTCCCCTCTTCTCCTTTCCTCTCCTCTCATTTCCTCTCCTCTCAGCATTAGCGTAGGGTGAACTCACTCTGATCCTCTCCCATCCCCGAAGCGTTTTTGACTCTTTCCACTTGACATACTTGTTAATGGTTTTTGAATGTTCTTCTCAGCCTCAGTACATATGCACAAACTCACAATTTCCACACCAAACACTCCTTGTCAGATTCATGAGTCATATTTTTATAACTGTAAAACACACACACACCAAAACTCACAAAGTTTGAAGTATTTGGCCCTAAAATATATTCACGTCATACTTCACGATCTTTATCTTATTTGCATACTTAAATCCATCATGCCTTTTGGTTCTCGAAATGTATTTGTACATCATAAAGTATATTTGCGGTGAAGTGCCGACACTGCTAGATATGGCTGTAGAATGATATGCACGAGCAATCGGACAGATAAAATGTCAAAACCAGAAACTAGTTTGAAAACTAAGCAACTTCTTTATAAGTAAAAGGGTTTCCAAAATGTCTATCCATAGTTTAAACATTTTGAAAATGTCTAATTTCTTCACTTCACAAAGTGCCGTGGAAAATTAAAATGAGAAATATTTCTTAGGAATTCCTATGTGTGTGAAAGCAAGCCTTTGTGGGCGAGAAATGTTCCAATCTGACTTTAGTAATAAACCCAAGCGTGAAACTGCCTCACTCACTTTAATAATCGAGTGAATGCATTGTCAACTCATTGCTTTAGAATTGTCGTAACTGTTGAATTTCCCTTCACACTGGGGATTCTTTTAGGTGTTGGGTATGTGTGGGGTTGAATTGGAAACATAATTTGGTGGTGAAAAAATGTGTTTGACCATTGGGCCGGTCAATAATATTTGTTGAGACGGACCAAACAATGACGTGTACCCGATTGCTTTTCATTTAAAAATCTTTTGACCATTGGCGGTACCATTAGCGATAGCAATGCAAAGATAAACTCTGTCCCACTCTGTCTAATTTTAGATCTAGTGTTTGATTTGCAGTTCTTTTAAACTTTGCCCTCATTTTTCAGAGCACAGAGATGAAACAAGTGGTCAGTCTAATTGAACATAAGACAGTAATACTTGTTCTAAACTCAAGTGATTTCCAAAAGTCACTACTTGTCATCGTCCATTGGCCTTAAAATATAAACGAGATTAACACAGTTAAGTTGTGTTCCAACTAATACCATCACTACAATCAACACCACAAACGCTGTCGCTGCTACTGCTAAAATAGTATAAGCCGAACGGATTGAGTAAAAACACATTTCTGTATCATAATTATATTCTTATTCATGGCTTTCCATAGAGTGCTGACTCATTTTTGTCAAGGATCAGCACCGGGCCAACATAAAAACTTTATTTTATTTGTAATAGCACATGCAGAATTGCATAAATATCTAATGATGGAATTGATTTGAAAATTCAGAGAACAGTCGTACAGAAACTAGGTGGCATCTGAGTCTAGGATATGCATGAATGTAAATGCAAAATGCATTTTCAATCGATATTAATTTTGGGGGTTGGACATATGTCTGCCGATGAGCAACAAACAGCTAAGGAATAAAGATCTGACCGAAGCATGTGGCCTTTCTCTGTCCTGTCCTTTTTCAAACGGGAGGAAAGCCCGGCTAGCAGTCTAAAATCAAAAACAACAACCACAATAAAACTGAATCTATTGTTTTTTTAATGACTAAGTTCTGAACTCGTTTTCAAGAGCCTGGAGTGCTTTTCGACCTAAATAGCTGTTCTCTCTCTCTCTCTCCTTAATTTGACTGTTTCTAGACCTTGTTCCCGATGGTAATAGTGATGCAACGGAGAAATAATGAGTGTTTTGAACGATCATTTGAAGCTTGTATGTTCACCTGTTTGCTTCCTTCTCTTCCTCTACTGTGGCCTATTGTTTTCTCTCTCCCTTACTCTTCTTCTCACTCTCTCTTTCTCTCTCCTGCTTGCATCTCACCAGTGGTTCTGCAATGAATGTTGCATATGGAGACGAGGAGATGAAACGCTTCCTGGAGGAGGCCTCTCAGGTGTCCCAGGTGAGAGCAGTGTTAAGTGTGTGTATGTGTGTGTGTGTGTGTGTGTGTGTGTGTGTGTGTGTGTGTGTGTGT